CTCCCAATATGAGACCCATACAGCAAAAAGTAACTTCAGGGGGGCTCCCAATATAAAACCCAGACAACAAAAAGTAACCTCAGGGGGGCTCCCAATATAAAACCCAGATAACAAAAAGTAACCTCAGGGGGACTCCCAATATAAGACCCAGATAACAAAAAGTAACCTCAGGGGGGCTCCCAATATAAGACCCAGATAACAAAAAGTAACCTCAGGGGGGCTCCCAATAGAAGACCCAGATAACAAAAAGTAACCTCAGGGGGGGTCCCAATATGAGACCCAGACAACAAAAAGTGACCTGAGGGAGGCTCCCAATATGAAACCCAGACAACAAGAAGTAACCTCAGGGGGTCCCAATATGAGACCCAGACAACAAGAAGTAACCTCAGGGGGTCCCAATATGAGACCCAGACAACAAGAAGTAACCTCAGGGGGTCCCAATATGAGACCCAGACAACAAGAAGTAACCTCAGGGGGTCCCAATATGAGACCCAGACAACAAGAAGTAACCTCAGGGGGTCCCAATATGAGACCCAGACAACAAGAAGTAACCTCAGGGGGTCCCAATATGAGACCCAGACAACAAGAAGTAACCTCAGGGGGTCCCAATATGAGACCCAGACAACAAGAAGTAACCTCAGGGGGTCCCAATATGAGACCCAGACAACAAGAAGTAACCTCAGGGGGTCCCAATATGAGACCCAGACAACAAGAAGTAACCTCAGGGGGTCCCAATATGAGACCCAGACAACAAGAAGTAACCTCAGGGGGGACTCCCAATAAGAGACCCAGAGAACAAGAAGTAACCTCAGGGGGGCTCCCAATATGAGACACAGACAACAAGAAGTAACCTCAGGGGGGCTCCCAATATGAGACACAGACAACAAGAAGTAACCTCAGGGGGGCTCCCAATATGAGACACAAGCTACTGTAGAAGAAAGAGGACAACGATATGGAATAAAACATCCCTGGAAACATTTCTGATGTAAGGCTGTCCCTGCCCGGCTTCGATATGAAGCAGTGACGGAGCAGTTACATCCAATTACAGGCACTGTTTTAAAACACGGGCCCCCTGGTGATCTCTTATTAAGATTCTCACGGGTTTCTGTTCTGACCCGCGTCACTCACTTCTCAAGGGAACTGGAGGCAGCAACCAATCAGCAGAGAGCCCATGAAAATCCCAGCAAAGTATAAAAACAATGATACACAAACATTGTAACCAATGCATACTGATTTGATACTATGTTATTATTTGTATCAAATTGTATTAGTAATCAATATCTGCCCAATTATGTCAGTGTATGTGATCAAAATACTGCGCAGTGCGTGTTACGTTACAATCACGTTTCTTAGGTTTCAGTTCAATTTCTATATCTGGGAAAGCTGATAATATGCAAATTAGGTGATGGGTTTGAAAACAGTGCTTATTGGGAACCTTTAGGCTTGGCTCGGACCTGGGCATTCGGTGACAGCGCGGCAATTGTGCACACAACTGTGCTCATGGCCGCGCGGTCACGGGATTGCCCACCACTGCCAATCGCGCTGGCGGTGCCATTATTTTCGAATGGGACCCCAGTCGCGCCGGGCATACCTGTGGTGTGTGGCAAAAAAAGGTTCTTGTACCTTTTTTTAGCGATTGTCGTGCGCATGTCATGTAGAGAGGTCACCAGCACACAAGAATCCTCTTAGGATAGCAAAATGTTAATTTATTGAAAATTCCTTGTCATATAAACAAGCGCTTTCGGGGCCACACAGGGTCCCTTCATCAGGCTTAGCATTGAAATCAATGGGAGTGCACAATTGTGTGGTCCCGGGATCGCCCACAGCTGAACCTAGCCTTAAATTCAAAACATATTATTTTTTACCCCTGTGAGTTTTATTTTCTATATGTATCCCATTGGGAATATCTCACATCCTGTCCTGTAGAAAAAAAAAAGGAAATAAGTTCAGCCAATCATGCGCGAGAAGGCGATGGATGCTATATTCTCAGGTCATGTGATCCTAAACTGAAAACACAAAGCGCACAGCTCACCCCTGACTGTCATGCGTCCCTGTGATCCACATTCGGTGCACAGACGACTCTCTTCTGGAGTGATAGGCTGAAAAACAGTAGAATCCGCTCACGATGATCTTCCAAAGAAATTAAAACTTTATTCCACCTGCATCTATACAAAAAAAACAACCGCGTTTCTGCCTTACTTGGCCTTAGTCATGGCAGGAGTAGCTAGTTTAAATTTCTTTGGTAGTTTTAGTCCCCATTCACACCATGGCTTTGCGCGAACATGCGTCGCACTCACACGCGTTCACTTGTTTCCCACATTTGGCACGTGTCCCCATTCATTACAATAGGCTCCTGAATGCGCGGCATACAGTACTATGTACTATTGACCGATTTGGTGCAGCGATGCATGGGGTTTCTCAGCTGCCATTGGGATGTGCGGGATCCCCTGTGTGTTTCTGTGCTTTTAAGAAGGTTGGGCTTCCTCCTGACAGGCCTGCACCCAATTTGATATCTTCTGCCCCCATGTGCTCCAAGATGGAGACTCTCATAGTTTAGAGTTAGGACCGCACTATCAGAGGTGCCTTTCACATCCTCTGCAGAAGACGTGTATCCAAACCTCTGTTATTATCCTTAGTGAGACAAGTTGTTTTACATGCTGGTTTGTGAGTGTGCCATGATGCCTTTCTACTGTTATACAGTACTATGTAACACATAAAAGCCAGTTAAAATCTGGCTCTCTGTCGCCAGTCACCTGCAGCATAAACAGCACGTGAAAAAGGTTTTACCAACACACATTATCCTAGGTTATGACCTATGGCGGTATTACAACACAACGTGACTATTACAAGGAACAACAAAAGTCATTCCCAGACTGGTGATAAATCAGGAACAATGCACAACAATGGCAATTACTGTTCACAAATGAGCACAGATGGAC